GCGGCGCATAATGTCTTCTATATGCATAGGATAGCTATAGTAATTTGTTCATTAAGCTTGTAACGTAGTTAGAAAGCATAAAATGCGTATCAAACTTTCACATATACATTAACAACAGTTATGAGCATTTTAATGTGAATATTAAGTCTTTGTTTAAGTGTGAGCATAACGCAAATTTTGGCTCCCATTAAGCAAGCGCTGCAAAATGTTCACACTGGAAATTAAAATGGCGATTGCCTCGCCTTAACGATCTGAACAAGCGCAGAGTATGCATTATTCGACTGTAGTTGGAAAGTTTTTGGTTTCTTCTTTTCGGTTGATGTTTTTATTTTTTTCATGTAGCCGCCGCCGCCGCCATCGGCTGCACTCCCTTCTTGTGCTACTTCTCCCATTGCTGCTGCGCCTGCTGTTTTCTTCTCCACTTGGCTCTTGCCTTATTGGTTGTTGTTTACGTTTCGGTGGTCCTTTTGGAGTTGTCCGACGACGTCTGCAGCGACGCCGACAGCAACGCTGGCGATGTCTACGAGCTTTTGTGAACGTTGTTATCGAGTAAACTTTTTGGTATTTTTTCTCTTCTAGATTATGTATTTATTTTGTACATACATATGTATATATTTACTTAATTGCTTTTGCTGGGCTACATTATCGAATTATATAACGACTAGATAATGGCGCTAGTAAACCCCAAACAAAACAACAAAAAAAAACCCCTTCCCACGCAGTCAACCCCCACTTAGTCCACTATTTCTTTTTTGTTTTTGTGTGTGCTTTGAGTTATCTTTTCTTTTTTTTTGCATTCTTGCCTCTTATCTGTTTCAGCAGTTTATTGCGGTTTCTGCCAGGTTGCCTGCTTCTTAATATTCGCTGACTGGCTTTACAGCTATTGTTGCATTTGTCGCATTTCTGTGGTTGCGCAAATTCCACTTTTTCAGGCCGAGCACAGGACACGCAAGAAAGACACGCGTCTTTGTCGCGCAGCTCCTCTGCAGTTGCTGCTGCTTCTGTTTCTGCTGCTGCTTCTTCTTCTTCTTCTTCTTCGTGTTGTTGCTGTTGTTGTGCAAAATAATGAATTCCTTCTTTGGGGCTTAACCTCAAATTGGCTTAACTTCATTTATTTCATTTGCAATGCCAGAAATATTTCATTTGCGGTTTGTTGTCATTGTCATTGTTGTTGCTGTTGCTGTTGGTGTTGTTGCTCCCTCTTCTGCAACTGGACACCGCATTGGTGGTCAGGACGCGAGCCACAGTTAAGCTGGAAAGTTGATCGCGCTTTCGCTAAGCCCCTGACCGCGTCGTCGTGTGGGAGGGGCAGACGACAGGTGCTTATCAATTGGAAGATAACCTGTAGTTGTTTCTATATGTACTCTTAGTGCCTATACTTCTATGTATGTGCCTACAGCAAGAAATATTTACTTATATAGGGCCAAAAAGTGAAAGTTTTTTTTTTTAATTAGAATGTGTAATATGTATAATTTCTTTCACAGTGGTATAAAGATTATATATATAACAGCTAGGGCACAGAGGATTCGGAACTTTTTCTTTTAGAAGGTTGTTTTCGAAGCATTTTTAAGTCCCAAATTAAAATTATAATTATATTAAATATTTTGACAGCTGCAACTATAGTTTTTTGGTTTCATTTTTAATCTAACCCCAAGCGATGTTCTACTTAAAATGACAATTAATTTACACCTTTTTTTTACATACATCGAAATGTTATCCTTACAAAATTTAGATCACAACATTGCTTTAGACTAAAACGAATATCTCTGTTAATTCAGAGAATATCTTCCAGCTCTCGACTAGTGTGGTCTCATGATCTAATGGATAGTCCTCACCCTCTCCATATTTATATATGTATATCCTTGGTAAATATTAAGTTTCTCACAGTTCTTTTTGGTTCCATATTATGCTGAATCAACTTAAACTTATATTATATTATTAAGCTTGATTCTCTGAGGATACACTTTGCAGTTCTGTTATAATATTATACGTATGTATATATAGTACACCGACCTGTTGCATTATTCTGCGCTCACATATCGCGGTGTATAATCGGTAGCATTCAACTCGCATCGGCTTACATGTGTCGCGACTTGCTTCTCCAGATATGTGAATGTATATATATCATGCCATTTGTCTCACCTACACTTGCAGTTGTTGTTGTTGTTGCCTGCAGCTGTTGCTGCTTAACTGGCAAGACATAAAACAAAAGCCGTCACCTCATGCTCTGCCCCGCTCGTACCTGTGTGGCGTACCTGTGGGCTGTGGGGGGTAGGGGGCAGCGGCGGGCAAGGACAACCTTGAGACTGTTCAATATTCCGCAGCATAATTCGTGGCCAGCTCGATATCACGAGTTTTACGCTCTCCACCAACAGCGGCAACATATTCGAGGCAATGTCGAATGGAAAAATGTTGCAAGTGGACACCACACACAGACGCCACAAGCGCGAGAACCAAGACCCAAGACCCGTATCCGAATCCGAATACCACAAGCAAACACACACACACATACACACACTTATGCATACGTGCACAGATGGAAACAATGTCAGATGCCGCTGTACTAAAATTACGCCAAATTATGCTGAAAATGCAATGAGAGCAGTAAATATGTAATGCGCACGGCGGACACACAGACTGGACTCCAGTTCGGTCTCTGTGCCACTCCCAATCCAACGCCCTCACCCCCAACACCATCCCCAATCCCACCTGCAGCTTAGGTTTTTCGCAAGCCATAAAGCTGCAACTGCGGCTGAAGAGCTAAAGAGCTGCCATTGGCCATTCGTAGAGCCCGCTTATCGGAAATCCAACATCTACGCGTAGTTTTTCGGAGCATGCGCAAAGGGACAACTATTGCGAATTGCCAGTTATTTGGGTGGAAGGAAGGAAGCAAGCGAGGTGCTGCTGGGGCTGCGACTGTGGCTGCGGCATTTAGTCGGGGCATGAAATATTTTGAACGCTCCAATGGCAGCCTCACAGGCTCAGCCCTAGAAGCTGCCCCTCTCACATATGCACCACACACATATATTTATTGCATTTTAATGTGCCACTGAAATGTGATTTAATTGGCATTGTTGCCAGACTCCAGAAAAACGCATCGCACAGTGCAACACGAAAGCAGCCCTAAGAAAAAACACTTTAAACCAATCTTGTCCAGGTGGCTAGCTCTAAATCATCAAATCGAAATTAAGAAATTACCTTAAAACAGGCTCGAATAAATTTATCGAATTGATGACACCCAAGGAATTATAAGCTGCAACAATCTAGTTCTTGTTTACATTTGTAAAATGTACGATGGAATATCTACTTCGAACAATATGTGATCATAAATTAATTTGGTTGATCTAACATATACGAGTATGTACATTATGCATTAACTATACAAACTCAAATAGGTATTTGCTCCACAAAATGTGAGGCTAGGAGCGGGGTTTCATTAGTTCTGTAGTCTCTGAGATCGCTGAGTATACAGAGTCTAGATCTAATTATAAGGCTCATAAAGATTGTATACATATCTTATAAGCTTAAAAATGCCTGTTGTATACATTAAAAGAATTGTTTCTAAACTTGCTTAAACCCCAGCTTTATCTATACATAAACTTTTCCTAAATTTCCCCTTTTCCCCAACAAACCAGGAAAACTGTGTGCTTAACATCAAACAACTAGTACAACAACTTTTTCCGTTCATAAAAGCAATCATGTTTAAATGAATAAAAAGCCATCAATTACGTGCACAATTGCGAGGCAAAAGCTTATAATGATTGGGCAACTAGCGGGTTATGTTATTGTGCACTCACGTGCCACATGTCATAATAATCGAATGAGTGTGCGATTAACGATTGATCGATAATTCGATATTTAAAAAATGCATATTTGACGCATGCGAATCAGTGTGCAACACTAGACTTTGAACTAGTTGGGCGCTGCATTGGTCTCTGGGATGGATTTGCAAATGCGAGCAAAAATTTTCTTTAATTAAATTCATTCTCACAGTGTGTGCAACATGTGGCAGCCGCAGACTGGAAGCTGGTGGAATGCTGCCACGCAGACGGGTCTCCCAACTGCAGACTGTTGCCATCTATTGGTGCCAGCACTTTGGCCAGGAATTTCAGTAAAGTCTTCTGAGACTTCACACAGAGCGGCGGCAACTTCTTCTGCTTCTTCTGGACTTGTGTCGTCGTCCTCGTACCCGTCCTCGTCCTTCTACCCGTTGTCGTCGCCTACCTACGCGAGCCCTTTAAACTCTTGCGCCGTCATCAAATCAGGTTTCGTTGCTGAAGACAGACGCATAAATCGCTGGAGTTTTTAAAATACCCATCAAGACTGGGTACCAGGTACTGCGCTCGACTGGACCCCCCCGCTTCAAGTCAGCAGCTCCAGGGAGCGCATTCGCTTCTAAGTTATAAATGCCTCTCATATATATATACATTTTTTTCTTAACACCAAACATTGTTGTTCCACTCTTGCCGCGGGCATAGACCACAGCCCAATCCTCCTCCGGGCACGCCTCATTTGCCTTTGGCATTTGTTTGATTTGACAACTTTGTTGGACTCCTCTTTTCTGCTGTTTGCTTGTGAACCTGAATTGCTCGACAATATTTTTGCTCTAAATCTTCGACTAAGATTTGTTGATTTAGGTCTTAGTCCTCCAGTTGGAACCTCGCCTGGAGCGAGGCTTGGCACAAACCAATGCAACACTTGAATTTGAATAAAGTTTTCAATGAAAACTTCTTGTGGCCGCAATGAAACTCAAGTGGTCTTAAGCCTAACGAACTGTTTGTACTATAAATCTACAAAAACAAAATTCAAGAAATTCCTCTGGGATTCTACTCTAATCGAAACTAAAACAATACACAACGAAGATATAAATATATATATATACCTTAAAAAAATAAAACAAAATTGTTCATACATAAAATTAATTTTCGATTTTGTGTGTATTAAGTGATATATTCCGATAAGTTTCGATGTATGTATCGATAAGTCCAAAAAAGTTGTCATATACGATATATGATATATATGCGTCTAGCATTTAGGATTCGTAGTTTTCTCCTATTCGTTACATTTCGCTTAACAATATTTAGGTACGTTCTGCAACATTTTAATGGATTATACATCTAAGGAATATTTATTTAAATATATGCATGAGTTATATTGTTCTTTAACCTAACTTTAGTCACAAGAGGTTCTGAAACACGAGTCTCCTAGGAATATACCAAGTATATTCGGGAGTGTGCCCGACTAGGAATTGCCCTGAACACTTTATGCTGCTCCAGTTCTTCTTCTTTTTGACCCACACTATGGTAAAACATTCTTGAAGATCTTGGCTGTTTATGGTCTGATCCTTATGAAACTTTCAGGACTTTAATATGGCATTCAAATGTGTGTAAATGCCAAATAACAAGGCTCCAGCTTAAAACAGAGATTTTTCATATTTGGGGAACGGGCAAAGATCTCCGAAAAGTGAATTATTCTAAATATGTATATAATTAATAAGAATCTACTTATGTAATTTGGTGTATCTAGCTTCTATAATTTTCGAGTTATGCTGAAAATCCAGGCCAAAACTAGATATCTTGAAAATAGGGAAAGATATCGAAAATAACTAATCAACTTGTGCTGCATCTGATATAAGAGAATAAATATTTCAAAGTTTGAGTCTCTAGTCTCTTATAAAGTTCTCGAGAACTTGAAATGCGTCTGGTTTATAATGAGTCTTAAGAAGAGTTTAACCTCTATTCTAATGTGTTTTTCTTCCTATTTTCTCAACAGATTGCGTGCTCTGACTGATTTAATTGTTGGTAAGTTTTGCCTAAATGCTTAAATAAACAAAGGATTTTCATTTCGAAGAGCTTCCCTCAGTGGGTTAACTCGCTTGCCTTAACAAATAAAATTAGCTGATAACTGTGGAACCACTTAAGAATACATTGTACAAGTACAATGATATGTGTATGTGCAGATGAGTCGTTTCTGGTTCTTGGGCTTGAGGATGAACCAGGCTCCTAGAGGTGTTATTCACCCCTCGATAGCCGCTTGACAGTCCACTGAACCGTGGACAACTTGACTCGACTGGGAACTGCAACTACAACTGAGCAAACAATATCAGAAGGCATACAAATGAGTTCGCAGTAGATCAAAGCTAACTTGTCCAAGGAATTTTGTGTTTGCATAGCAAATGTCACACGGACAGAACTGGTTGTACTTACGGATTGATCCCATATTTAAATGCCATCAGCAGTTGTTGTTCAGTTTTTTACAAATCAATTTCTACAATTTCCAAACTGAGGCCCCTAACAATTTGCTTTGACATTCGCTTGACATGACGCCGCTGGGCCAAATTTATGCATAGGGTTGACCCATATTTTTCAGATGTCCCAAACCAAATGCTAATTAATCCCACGAGTGCCAAAGGCCTGGCCCGGGGATTTGCTATGCTCCGCTGATTTTCACACACACATACGCAGCTCGCGTGTCCTGGCGAAGGCTTTTCCGCTTTTCCGGCCTACCTGGGCTTTAATAAATTGAAAATACCCGATTCCGTCGACCCGTTTGCGTATTTTGCGATTTAAATCTCACACGCATGTAATTGTGTATATTGCATCAGCTGGCTAGGGGGCGACTAAATGTCGCCTTATCTGTCACATTCGGAAACTAGAGTATATAATCTGTATGGTTTTCGCAGTTTTTCTTTTGCATTTCCTTGACACGTGCGATTACGCTGTGGGCTGGGGGGAAGTATCTATAAAGATCACCTAGCTTATGGCCATACAAAAACGTGAAGCCAGCTGTTTTCTTAATGTCACAGCGACAACAACAACAACCAAAATTTGTTTAGTTGTAATAGCAACAACAATAGCAACCCTCAGTGTGCGTCCCCGCCTGCTCCTGCCGCCGCTCGCCCCTAACTGCTCTAATTTACAATGCGTTTTTTTTACAAGTCGTCGCCGGCTTGAGCAGAAAAAATGTGCATGTGTGTGTGTGTGTGTACAAAGTACATCGAGAATTATTCACCCTATTTGGAACGATACGAATCCCCCGCTTAGGGGTTGCTGCTTTACTTTAATTATTAGCTCAGCGTCGCGGCCATAGCCGGGGTCTCAGCCCTCTTGCATCGGGCAACGGTCACCCTTGCCGTAGGGGCTGTCGCTGTCGCCATCGACTGCGTCATTTGGCACATGTCAATGCCTGCATTTTGGACTTTGGGCTCGGCTTGGACGCGGCTCTGTTTGGGTCTAACTGCAGCACAGTGGTGCGCTCGTAATTTTGGTCAGAAGTAATCAGCGATATATAGTCAGAACGTGTAAGATCTTCAGAACTCAAGCTTAAGAGAGAAGAGAGTTAAGAGAAACCGAACCCATAAACAAAGGAACCGAACCATTTAAATGTAATCAAGAACTAAATATATTAACTGAGCTTAATCCCAAAACTTCTTTACAACAAACATTCGGTTCACAAAAATATTTTTAAACCCGAATTTTGCATTCCATTTTATACTCTGAAACTGAAGCTCCAGCCAAATTGTACAAATTCTTATTATGTTTCGAAATTAAAACCAAACCAATTGTCAAAAAAAAAATTCTTATCAAGAACCAAAAAAATACTTAGTTGAACCAGTTTGAGTTCAAAATGTATACATTTTTGTGAACTAGTTGCTTAAAATGAGAAACTGAATTTAGATTCCGCTTTAGAGCGGAACCACAAACTTTTTTAAGGCATTGATTTATTGAAATGCAAAATATAGAAGACTGAAAAAAAAGTGACAAAGCGCGATTTGCACTAGTTCCGGAAGAGAACTACGAGTGGTTTTTCTGTTCCAGTTGCTGTTCCAACTATGAACCGAATGCAAAAATTTGTATTAGATTTGCAGGCATGCTTTACTTCCAAATCTATTGCCAAATGCTCTACTCGCGACCTAATCTATATGGCCATTGGCCTCTGTGTCCCACTGTGTCGCGCTCCACTTCATCGCTGTCGTTCCCATTGCGAACAGAAACCACTTCCACTTCCTGTTGAATTGCAGGAAACCCAACTCAGAACAACAACATCAGCAGCAACAGCAGCAACAGTGCGCCCGATTCTAACACTAGAACAAAGCATGAGAGACAGAGGGTGGGGAGAAGATTGATCCCTGACGGGGCGGGGCACATCTTGTTGCACCCTTAAACATAGCTGCTGTTGCATTTTTTGCAACAATTATGAACGGGACAGGCAACATAATATCTCTTTGCTTAACTGCACGAAGCTAGGCTTTAAATTGAGTGTGTTCGAATTGGCAGATACCCTGTAAACGATCAATAAAAGCATCTAATCGTATAGTTGTACACCAAAGCAGATTATCATTAAAAACAAAAAGATTTTGATTCCACGCTCAAATGTGAAATAAGCGTGAATTTAACATAAGACCCAACTGAAATAGGCGTGCAATATGTTTTATTGAGTTAGTTTAAAGCGGAAAATAGGGGAAAAACTTAAATTTAAAGGGTCTAGAACATATCTGAGGCCAGCGGAGCCGTGCAAGCCTGCCAAGACTAACAAAGCCGTTTTTACAGGGTATAGAAAATAACCAAACCACGGGCTGCTCGGAGCGAGCGACATTTGTGGATTTGTGTGCTGTTCGTTGCGTTGTGGCGTCTCCGTGCGCCGGGTTCGTTCCACTTTTCTGCCGTGCTCAGACAGACGTCTGAAGTGCCTCCTGGGCAACAAGCAACACCACGCTGCATCGCCATGGAGGAGGGTGCTGCAGCTACTATATTTTTTTCTTTTCTGGGTTTTCCTTTTTAAGGGTGCTTCTCATTGCGCTACACTTTGGCAAGCAAGACGACGACGTCCAGGTGCGTTGCCCATGCTGCCGTGTTGCCGTGTTGCCGTGTATTGGCTACTGCTGCTGCTGCTTCACCTTCTTTTCCACTTTTCATTTTTCTCAGGCATTTGTGGCTGCCACACATTTGGGACATCTGTTGGGCCGGCTGATCGTCGGCCGTTCTCAGTTCTCACTGTTCGGTTCGATGTCTCGTTTTCATTTATTTTTTTATGCCGAGTTTTGACTATGGATTGAATCTAATCGCATCTTGGCACAGCTTCACATCCGCTCGGAAGCTCCCACGCTGCCGCTCATTAGAGGCACAAAGAGAAGCTCGCCAAGCTTTAGTTAAGCTAATTGCAGTATCTCAATGTCCTGCACTGTCCTTTTATAGGAAACAAATACACACACACATACACACAAACAAAGGGGCAACAACAACATGCGCCGAGATTTAGTGATCTACAAATTTCCAAGAATTTCGTGAATGGAAAAACAAAAGCGCAACGAACGCTCCGAGCGGAGATTGTTAGGCAGACGAGTTGCCTCTACCTATCGGACCAGAAACTGAACCCAAACCTGAAGCTGAACTCGAATCCGAATCCGAATCCGAAGCTGAACCTCGGCCCAGCGCTGTGTGTATATCTCTTATGAATGTACTCGCGTCTCGTACTTGGACTGGCTGCTGTTTGCCGTTTATACACATTTATATATATATATATATATGTTTTTTTCTGTTCGAAGGTTCCTCTTCTTGTTTTTCGTGGCCTGTCCCGGCACAGCTTTTGTAGTTCCACTCTCTCGCTCTCTCTCACTCTCTCTCCCGGCTTCTGTCTCTGTCGCGCTCTGTTGTTATTGTTACTTAAAATAGCTGAAAAACGTGAGCGCATATCCCAAATTCGAAAACCGGTAAGCCAGGCCAAAGGCAACGACCAGGTAGTTCGTCGATTTAATGAGCACCCAATTCCTTAGCCTTAGGCCAAAAGGCGCAGCACACTGGGGTAGATCTCCAGTTGGGAGCCAACGTATGGAACATTAGGCGGAACCACTAAACTCTTGATAATATTCAATTTGAATTGAATTCTTTATAAAATTTTAACTTGCGATTGGATATCTAAATTTCTATTTACGAATCTATCTGAGGTCAATTGGGTATTTATATGGAAAATAAATAATTTTATAGGCTTCAAAAGATTTCGAACTAAAGCTCGCTATCTAGTCTTAATTCCCTAAAATATTTATAAATCTCTTTTAGAATAACTTTCATACAGTTTTTATCTAGTCTTTCTCTGAAGTTTGGTTAGATTTACTTGCATCTATTTTAAATTCCCCAAAATCAATTAAACAATTCTCATCTTAAAAAATGTATCTCTTAACCCCTTTAAGTACTATAAATTGTTATAGAATAAAAATGTATCTGTAGCGGAGTAGCTTTTACTCTACCTGGTATAAAGCCCTAAGAATGCGCGTCAGTATCTCTTAGAGAATTGACTCTTGGCTATATGCCCATATATCCCATCTAGTCTATATTCCCCCTTTTACGTGACATATACACAACTCCGTTAAATGTTTTTTTATGTTGAAAATTCTTATCAGCCCATAGAACCAAAAGAGTCCAACGAACCCCAGAAGCACAGGAAAGCGGAAATTCCAATGGTTTACGAAGACCGTATACCCCTCCCCCTCTCCAAACCCATTTTGGCATGTGCTGCTCAACGAGAAGGCCATAAAGCAATAACAGACGACAGCTGCAAACTATTCCCGTAATACGTCAGTCATTCAGTCAGTCAGTCGAGGAGTCGGGGAATCGGAGAGTCGGTGAGTTGTGCTGAGCTCTCCGTTCGGTTCAAGTTGAGATATGTGTTGAGGTCCTTGCAGTCCCTTCCTTCAAACCACATCGAACCTCTCAAACCCAAACCCTATGCAACTCGACAGACGGCGTGTTGCAATGCTCCGCTATGCAGCCTGTACACAGGATATACGCAAAGTCTGTCTATGCTTGGGGGGGTACAGTTCGCAATTCAGTTATGTGGTGTGTGTGTGTGTGTGTGTGTGTGTGTGTGTGTGTGTGTGTGTGGGGCGGCACTTCATCTCCTGTTTCATATCCGTTCGTCTGCATTTTGATTTTAAACTTATTTTTGCTTATTTGGGCTGATTAATTTTTGGCGCGTCTGATCAAAATTGCTTTTGGATTTCGATTCCGTCGGATTTCAGCCTGTAATTTTTTGGCATTTGAGGAGCCTAAAGCCGCGCTCTGTTATTATATTAGTTTTTGTTTTTTTTTTGTTTTGTGATTTCCGGTCGTTTCTTTATGTTTGCTGCTCGTGCATTTGCATGAAGCCTGATTCGGTTTGGTTTTTCCAGCTGCTGCTGCGGCTGCTGTTGCTGGGTGCTAATTGCTGCAGAGTTCATTGACTGACCCGCCTAGACGCAGAACTAGTTGCCCTCACTGGCCACTTAGCACCTGTCGCCGCAACGA